CAGCAGGAAGGAGGCTGCGCAGCACTCGCAAGGGTAAGCCTTTGCTTTTAGAGGGGGCTGTCGAGGGGTGGAGGCCAGACTCGAGCTCTCTGAAGCAGGTGAGGGCTACTTGAGAGCCGGCGGAGCTCCTCCCTGCCAGCTGTACAGGGCAGGGGTCGTACTTGCGGCGTACCTGTCATGCGGAACTGTTCTTCTCTGCTCCCCCTACAGCCCAGGGGAGAGGTGTGGAGGAACCCCAGAGTACTGCGTCGAGAAAAGCCAACAGGAAAGCTCAGCTTCCTTCTGCTTTCTCAGCACAGGGCTCCATTTCTTACAGTGCCTAAGAGCACTGCCAAGGCCTCCCTACCAGGGCTCTAAGGACAGTAGGAAGGAGGCCAGGTTGAGCTGGTGGCAAGAAGTGCCAGGCAAGGCTGTTGGGAAGATGGAAACCATGCCATGCCCCACAGGCTGTGAAGCTCCGAGACCTGGTGCACATTTAGCCAGGAGGAAGGGTATTACCCCTCCCCCACTGCTAGTCTCGTCCAAATGCTGAGAGCTTTCAGTCTGGCCCTCCGCAACCCTTCCTTCTGTCCAGGGGCTACTCCTCCCAACTCTACCCAGCTCACGTGGCATCACTCATATGACTCCTTCAGCGACTCTGCGGTGTCATCTCTGTGTTCTAGGAAGGCCAGGATGCCGAGCCCGGGCCTGTGTTGGCTCTGGCACTAAATCTGACCAGTTGGCCTTAGCTAAAAGTTCTGAAGGGACAAGACAGAATTAAACCCAGCATATGGCGTGGCTACTTTGCCCCCATGAGGTGGGCTCTTGGGTGAAGACAGCCTGTGTGGACAGCAACCTACAAGAGAGGAACACATTCAGGTCACCATTCAGGTGGAGTGGTCCCAGCCACGGGAACCTTTCTGCTGCCGAGTGGAGCAGGGCTGTAACTAGGGCCTCGCTACCCTCAGGTCCCAGCCCATCAAGTTCTAGATGAAGGCAAGATCCCTGAGCCTGGCAGGGCCAGACACAGTCGCTCCCGCACGGCCTCAACGAGCTCTTTCCTCACATCACAGCAGCCGCTGTCGCCGCTTCAAGCGCTCCTGGCTTCCTTTAAGCACTCACCCAACTGGGAGCCATCTGTGCTAACTGAAGTTTTACTTTTAACCACCAACCTTGTCTTTGATTATAACCAGCTGTAAGTGTTCAGACCATAAAAACAGGAGCACACAGGCAGCGCGCACAGAACCCTTCCACAGGCTGTTTCGTTTATAATAAACCAGGCCTGTTCACTGTGTCCCTACAGGGCCTTGCTCTGCACAGCATACCCGTGCCTGTCTGCCGAGGCTGGAAAGGCCAGGCCACACAGGCAGAGACACCCTCTCCTTTGCTTTCCAGCCCTCTGCTGAGGTTCTTAGAGGCCCCTTGGACAGTTCTGAGAATAGCGCGCACAGCCACAGGCGCAGACTGTCTGCGGCCTGCCGTTTTCAAGTTCACCCTCCCTTTCTCCAGAGGACATGGCCTCTTACTGAGAAAGGCCTTCTCAGCCTGCCTGTGCTGGGGTGTTCTCTCAAGCCTCAGCCAGAGCTGCTCCTGGGTGGTGCTGTCTTGTTGCTGGCTCCCCACACAGCCCCAGCCTCGGCCTGAGAGAGCTGGCTCTTTTAGCTATAGGCAAAGAGCAACCCACACTTGCTGTCTTCGCATTTCTGACATGTCTCTCCACCACACAGGGGCTGGAGGCCAAGGCTCGGCTGCTCCTGAGGAGCTTCTCGCTCTGTGAAGGGTGGGGAGAGGTCACCACTGCACCGCTGGCTCAGAGAGGGCTCCACTCAGGGCTCGAATCAAGAAATGCCTAGGCAAAAGGTTGTCCTAAGAGGGGCCACTTCACCCCACAGATGAGAGTCTGAAGGCCCAACAGCCAGACTGAGGCCACATCATCCCTCTCCCTATGAGGTTAGAAAGACTGCTCTAAAGCCAGGCATGGTGGCACACACCTTTAACCCCAGCAACTTGGGAGGCAGAAGCATGTGGATCCTTGAGTTCGACGCCAGCCTGGTCTACAGAGTGAGTCCCAAGACAGCGAGGGCTACACAGAGAAGCCCTGTCTTGAAAAACCAAAATAAATAAAATAAAGATCTTTTCCAGTATCGTCTACTAAGAAGTCAAATGAGAGTTGGGGCTCAAAACTGGTTCTTTGTAAGTGATGAAGAGCCTGGACTGAGCAAACAACTGACCACTAGGGAAGGAAAGCAATGACTCTGCCTCCTAGCGGGGCCCCTCACCGAGACTTCCTCCTCCGCAGAGGCCCTCCCGCCTGTGGGAGAACTGTCTTCCCACTGCTCTCCTCCTTAGGGCATAGGCCAAGTTCTACAAGTAAACACTCGCTGAACCACTATACAGGGAGCTTTAGGGACAGGAGTGACTTTAAAACAGCTTCATGTCAGAGAGCCAAACTCACACTACTACTGCGCTCAAGGAGTGGACCCAAATACCACAGATGAAAGGGAGGACAAATGAAAACAGGTGAGTTCACACCATGAAGGTGAGAGGCATTGCTCTCTCGGGCCCCTGACCAAGCTCACGTCCTTCCAGCACTCAGCTAACAAGGTTTTGGGCTAGGACAAAGCCACGGCCAAAACACAGAGCTGCAGACAGTGGGGTAGGGGATCCAGGAGCTCAGAGCACAGGGTCACTCTCAGATGGCAGTCAGCCCACAGTGGTATACAATGACACGGAAAACAGAGCTCTGTGGACACTGGGGTCTGCCTTGTACTCCAAATGACAGGGTTCACTAAAGGGCCATCCCCGAGGCAGAGGAAACAGGCCCCACCCCAGGCAGCGGGTTTCAAGTACCTTTTGAAAGAGCCAAATGGCTTCCCTGTTCTCCCAACACTCTGACTGCACTGTCCTGCCTGCACATTTTGTCCGTCAAGAAAAGGGCCATTTTGTGAAATGTGGACAGAAGTATTGTCCCTTATAGCCAATTCCCTTTCCCTGAAGAGGTTATTTCTTCATGTATCTCCTGCTCAATTCTACATCTTATCTCAACTAGAACATGCTTATGTGTACTCAAAAAATACAAAATCAACAACTGCAACAAAAAACACACTGCTTAGCCATGTATGGTGGTACAAACCTTTGGTCCCAGCCCTGTGGAGGTCGAGGCAGGTACTCTGTGAGTTCGAGGCCATCCTGGTCTATACTGTGAGTTCCAGGACAAGCAGGACTACACAGTGAGACTCTATCTCAAAAAGAAAAGAAGAAGAAAAAAATCACAGTGCTTCCTCAGGCTGAGCTGTGACTGAGAAGTGAGTGTGGCTCAGGCTGAGCTGTCTCTAAAATGAAGACAGACTCTAACAAAGGTGTAGGCCAGCACAGAACAGACATGGGAAATGAGGAGAGCAGAGGAACAAGGGCCCGGCCTATCTGTGCTGCAGAACCAGCCTCCAGTGAGGGTTAGAGCAGAGAAAGAGGAGAGGACAGAGGGGCAGCTGCAAGCTGCTCCTCCCCAGCCAGCCCAGGGGCCCTCAGGCCAACTAATGCACGCACAGTATCTCTGCCACCAAGAAGGCTGGCCGTGCAGCTACGTTTTACAAACAACTGACCGACTGACTCCCAGGGGAAATGACTCAGCCTGCTCCCCGGGGCTGCAGGAAGTGAGGCCTCCAGCAGGCCTCCCTGTGGCAGGCCCCGGGATGGCGACGACCCCCAGCTCTCACCCAGGAAGAGCAGCGGAAGGAGCTTCCTCCCTGCATACCTACAGGGCGGCAGCACAACTGTTGCTCCACTGTCCAGCCCTCGGCCTGTGTGAGGAAATCAGGGCTCTCGCTTGACCAGCTGCAGCTTCTGGGACGCTACTACAGAAAAATCTAACAGGCTGATCAATATTCTCTCTCATTCTCCCAGACTATGGAGCGCAGGAGACCCTTACCTGGCAGCAATCCTCCTGCCTCAGCCTCCCAAATGTTGAGCTTGTAAACTTGCTCTAGGCTTCTTGCTGGTTTGCACAGAATTAATTCCCGGTTCAAGAAGATCACATGATCTCACTGTTGTTTCCCCAATGTCAATAGTCATAAACAACCAAAACCACTCTGCGCTATCTTTTCCTGCCCCATTAAGAGTATGGTGGACTCTTACGGGTGTTTCAGTAGCAACAGAATCTAGGACATGCAAATGTACCGTGAGCCTGAGCCCCGGCACGGGAAGCAGTTCCCAGCAAGCCTGGCTGAAGCAAGCATGAGGAAATCGGCAGCGCCTTGATGTCGATGGCAGAGTCTGGACTCGGGGTAGTTTGTTTTTCACTCTCCCGTTCTACTTTCTTCGCCACGTTAAAGACCGTGGGTCTAACCAGTCTATCACAAAAGGACTCAACGATGCCAGCGTGCTGATGGTGCCAGGAGGGAAAAACACCAGCCCCACTCCTCCTGGCAGGGGAGAGCACTAGAGTACAGACTGGTGCTGCTCCGAGCTGGCCTCTCTAAGCTGAACTTGGGGCCCAGCCTCTGCCGCTACCTGCTATGCAGGCCACTGAAGCCACTGAAAAAGACTTGGCACATTTTGCTTTCTTGACCCAGTGACTTCAAAAACCAGCCTTGACGCAGGTGCAGGGAGCACCCCTTCCTCCACACAGCTGCCTCCTGCCAGGCAGAGTCAGGCTGCGTAGTGTCGGGACGGCTGATGCACAGGACTGTCGTTTGGGGTGTTTCTTCTCCGTGGGGACAGAACTTCAGGAAGCTCTAGGCAGTGGGCGGCAGGGCTTTACTTTACAAGGGGGACACTCCGGAGCAAGCTAGTCTCTGGTTCAAGTCCACAGGTGCTGCCCCGAAGTCTGAGAGCATTCCATGACTGCCCTGCCACCCCACCCACCCACACTTGGCGGAAATCGGTGTTTCGACACTGGAGGACAAAATGCAAATGAGAAGTGTGCGACTTAAAGTTTACCAGTTGATACCCAAAAAGTGTTGAGCGTTGATGGCGCGGGTCACCACATATTATCTCTTAAGTGGAGCAAAGAGCAAAAAATGTTTCAAAGTTTGAGTATTTATTAGTTTTTAAATAAAGAGAAGTACTATTTTAACGTCACATCTTGGCTACGTTTCAACATAGGCAATGCCACAAAGAGTACCAAGTTCCCACGCTAAGCCAGGAGTCAGTTTCCTCTCACCCCCCTTGCTGAAGGCTCTTTCCGAGACCCTTTACTTCCCAACTAAACACCACAACTGGCAGATGAGTTCAGCACAAAACCTGTATGAAACAGTGACAGGAGCCTGAAGCAAGCCAGGGGTCACAAGTGGGCCCCTCTACAGATGACCTTCCACACTGGGCACTGAGCATGCTCTGGGCGAGCCCCTGGCGCATGCTCGGGCCTCGGTGGGGCCTCTCAGCACAGGGACAGCACTGCACAGGATGGCTGCGGAGCATGGGGCCACATCCAGGCCAGCGTGGTGTAAGGCATACAAGGGTAGGAGAGGCCATGTCAGCAATAAATAGCATTACGGGAAAATTCCCAGGCAGCAGGGCAGATGCGGTGCCTGACGGCCCAGTCTCTGGGACAGTGAAGGTGTCCAGTTTAAAGCTGACTGTGGGCATAGAGGGCAGAGTTCAGTTTCTGTCACTGCTTCTCCAGGCTTGGTAACAGAAAAGAAAACAGGTTCCCTTCTGTTTTCCTTGGCATGGGAACAGCCTAGACAAGGCCAGGGTCCCAGGAGCGTGAAGAAGGTGGCTAAGCCTGCCATAGCTGGGAATGGAGGACAGGGAAGCCTGCCTACTCACTAGCGTTGAAACAAACATGTAAAGGGGGGAGGGGGTTAAACCCAGAAATATCTGGAATAAAAAAAATGAAAAAAGAAAAAACAAAACTTGAAAAACTGAACAGTTAAGACCCTCTTTCTAAGCCACTTATTTACATACCATATGTCAGAATATAATGCGTGGACAAATGCATCCTGAGGGGAACGTGGCCAACCTACGGGACTCAAGAGCACGTTACAGGACAGATTCTTAGAAAGGTTCATCTCACATGGATTTCTTTTAATGGAAAAAAAATCAGAGAAAATATCTGGCCAGGCTGGGATGAGGCAAATGGGCACGCTTCAGAACCCAAGGGGAGAGTGGGTTCCCTCTCTTGGAGGGCAGGGTGAGCAAGGGAGGAACGGAGCATGCAGGAAAGTACTCAGGAGTTACACCCCAGTCCCCACCCTCAGGAAAAAGAGAAAAAAGTTCCCACCACGCCACACCCCACCCACCTCACTCCACATCCCACAGCGGCACCTCAGTGTACCCTCTCCGCTGCCCACCATGGTGAAAGGAGGCGTAGGAAGGTGAGGGGGTGGTGAGGAGAGCCACAGTTCAGTCTGGTTTCCCCTCTCCTGCTCTGACAGGAAGTCTGCAGTCATCTGATGCCTGACATGGAGCTGGAGTACGTGGCGGTGGCCACAACAGGGGTGCCATTGTTGGCGGAGTAGCCTTGCCTCAACGTCTCAAAGTAGGACGCCTGCACAGGCTTGTGACACTGCAGCACCTTTATGGCCTCTTCTATTGTAAACCACTCTCTCTTCCTTCCTGCGGGGAGAAGAGGGAAGAACTGAGCACAGGCGGAAGCACTGAGGACCATTCCGAGAGCAGGCAGCAGGCTTTGTGGCCACTGTGGGGCCTGTGACCCCAGCACTCTGTAAGGCAGGAGGATCAGGAACTGAAGGTCATCTTTGGTTACTCAGGGAACCCAAGACCAGCCTGGGCTACAAGAGAGCCGACCTCAACCCCACATCCCAGAGCAGTGCTTCTCAGCACGCTTTGTTCCTTAGAGAAGCAAAGCCAGACTCCACATGGTTCCAATATTTCGCAGAGCCCACTGCAGTGCCCGGCTGGTCTGGGCCCCCAGATTAAAGACTGCTCACAGCAGCTTCTCCAGGGCTCTGAGCACCATCGGCCTGCATCTCCAAGGAAGGTCCATCCTCTTCACCTTTGGCAAACATTAACCAGCGTTAACTGCCAGGGTCATGGAGGCTGACTTATAACCTACTATCCTTTTAGTTTTAAAAAAATGTACAAGTGATGGATCTGCCGTTGAAAAGAGAGGGCCGGAGAGATGCCTCAGAGGTACCGGCGATGGCTGTGCAGCCCGGTGCACTGGGCCCAAGCGCTGAACTGACTCCACAGTGCTCTCTGACTCTGCACTCATGCAGTGGCACGCTTCTTCGACATAGACACCACACGTGCTCATTTAGAAAAAGAAAATACAAGGCTGCAGAGACGGCGCAGAGGTTAAGAGCCCCGGCTGTTCTTCCAGAGCTCCTGAGCTCAATTCCCAGCACCCACACGGTGGCTCACAGACGTCTATAATGAGATCTGGTCCCCTCCTCTGGCATGCAGGCCTGCATGCAGACAGAACATTGTATACATAAAAATAAATAATTATTATTTTAAAAGAAAAACAAACAACAAAAAAACATGCAACCTAACAAACAAATCACTACTTTGAGTCAACTTTTATTAAAATTCATGTTTTGTTTTATTTTTTGAGACAGGTTTCTCTGTGTAGCCCTGTCTGTCTGGAGCTTGCTCTGTGGACCAGGCTGGCTTTGAACTCAGGTGGTCCTGCCTCTGCCTCCTGAGTGCTGGGACTGAGGGTGCACACTACCCTGACCGGCTTGTGGAGCTCATATAAACACCGTCTTCGGGCCGGAGTGAGCTCGGTGATGGGCCCTGCCCTCTCAACAGTACAGAGAAGCACACACTCCAGCCAGCAGGGCCAGCAGCAGGGCCATCAAGTCAGCGTGCTAGGCTCCAAGCACATCACTGGCCCCAAAGAACTGGGGAGCCCTGGTCAAGTGACGAAGCCCTCATGCTCCATGTCCTCATCTGTAAGATGGAGAGTGCACAGGCCTGACTTCCTCATCACAGGAAGCTCCTGGGTAAGAGCTGGTGTCAGTGTGTGACACAGTCTGCTTTTTTCTTTCTTAACAGACTCACTTTGTTACACTCTAACTGTTTTGTCCGTGTGGTGTGCACACCGCATGTGTCCCTGGTGCTCATGAAGTCCAGTAGAGGGGATCACAGCTCCTGGAACTGAAGCCACAGAGGGCTGTGAGCCGCCACATGGACTCTGGAATCTGGCCTACGTCCTCTGGAAGAATAGCCATGACTATTAACCTCCAGCCACCAAGGCGTAAATGTTTTTAATTAGAGTCGGTTGTTTTAAATTTTGTATTGTTTCTTAAGTAAATTTTTGTATTATAAAAATGAAACTTGGGAACTAAGAGACGGGTCAGCGGTTCTAGCCATCCCTCCAGAGGACCTGCCTTCAGCTACTAGCGCCCACGGTGGCTCACGACTCTCCTTAACTCTGGTTTGAGGACATCTCTTCTGGTTCTGTGGGCATTAGGCATGTATGAGATGCACAGACATACACACAGACATGACATCCATAAACATAAAAAGGGAGAAATATTTAAAGAGAAAGCCTGATTTAAGAGCGCGGCCCCAGCCAGGCAGTGATGCACGCCTTTAATCCCAGCACTTGGGAGGCAGAGGCAGGAGGATCTCTGTGAGTTTGAGGCCAGCCTGGTCTACAGAGTGAGCTCCATGACAGCCAAGGCTACACAGAGAAACCCTGTCTCAAAAAACAACAGCAAAAGAGCTAGGCCCCAAGCCATGTATCAGACCACACTGCTGGCATTTAACCATTCCCTCATCAGGGATGCTGACAGCCTGCCATTTCAGCATTTATAAATAATGGCATTTTTAACTTACATCTACCTTGGCACATATGTGTATATATAGACAGGTTGTATGTGTGCAGACAGGACCTGGGCCTTATGTGCAATGGGCAAATGCCCTAGCACCAAGCTAAAACCTCAGGCTCTAAGACAAGACCCAGCTTGGTCCCAGCGTGGTCCCACTGTTTGCTTTAACCCCCAGGGCGGCTTCCAGCTCTGTCACTGCAGAGCTTCCCACAACACAGCCAGCCCCTCCAGAGCACAGAGAAAAGAACCCAGAACCCCTGCATAGGGCCAGAGCTTTACCACAGAAGCATAGCCCCTAGCCCTGCTGTCCTGACCTCACTTTGTAGACTAGGCTGGCCTCAAGACTCAGAGAGATGAGCCTGCCTCTGCCTCCCTGAGTGCTTGCTCTTACGTTTTGATAGCCTAACACAAGGGTGAGTCACATCTACTGTCTACTTCCTACTCCGAGGAGGGCCTTGGTGCACAGACACCCTCTCTCCAAGCAGACCGTTGGCTCCGGCCACTTAATCAGGAGTACAGTCTACAGCACCATGAAGGCAGTTAGCATCGCCAGAGACAAATGCAGCGCTGATCACTGTGATCTACATTTCAGACCCAGCAGAGCAATGGGGAGCTGGGTGGGATGGGGCTTGCTGCCCCTTCAGCACTCCGGAGGCTAGGCAGGAGTCAAGAGCAGCCACGCGAGACACAGTGACAAGGCTGAGGGACTCAGTTCTTGCGCTTTAGATGCTCTCACTGGAATTAACACTGAATAATGCTGAGAAGCAAGGAAAGGCTAGTCTGGGCACTAAAAAGCAACGGAACCCTAAAAACCAGGTGTGGCTCCTGCCAAGCTGAGTGACAAGGACAGGTACAAAACATAAGCATCTTTATCTAAAAAGTATAGCAGTAGAGCCATTTTGGGGAGGATGCGATTTTATCTTACAAATATTTCTACTTTTTGTGGCCCTATTCCCAGCCCCAGCTTGTTAGACCTCCACATGCTAACGTCCTAGGCTTTAGGAGGTGTGTGCTGGCTTACCCAGCACACCTCACAGCATCGCTCCCAGCTGGCTCCTGGCTGGGCAAGGTCTGGGCACGACTGAGGGAGCTGCCCCGTGCCCTGTAGTGACTCACCAATGTTCACCGAGTCTTCCCAGTCTTCCAGCACCTCCGTGACAATAAGCACGTACACATACGTCCTGTGCTTCCTCTCCTGGTTCTGAAGGGCACAGAGAGAACAGGGAGAGGCTCTCCTTAGTGGGCTAAGATGCTTCAACATACAATCCCATGCCCCGCCCAGGGAGCCTGGACATGATGCCCTCTGCTTCTGCTGCTTGCCCAAAGGGGGTTCCACCAGAACAGAGAGGGCATGCCCTTTGGACAGATTTCTTCTCTTTTTAAATATGTCTGTGTGCATGCGTGTGCATGTGCCCGTGAAGCCCAGAGAAAGGTGTCTGATCTTCTGGAGCTGGAATCAGAGGTAGGTGTGGGTCCTCTGTGAAAACAGCAAATGCTTCATTTTATTTTTGAGACAGGGTCTCACTGTGTAGCCGTCACTGTCCTAGAACTTGCTATGTACACCACTCTGCCCTTGAACTCAGGGAGATCCTCCTTCCTCTGTCTCCCAGTGCTGGGATTACAGGTGTGTGCCAACATGCCCAGCTGGCAAGCATTCTTAACAGACTCTTCAGGTCCAAGCTTTACACTCTTTTGCTTCTTTCCCCTAATCACAATGTCACAGGAATACGGTGCCTTGGAGGAAGGGCGTGCACAGAATGTGGGTGTGCACCACGATCATCAAAGTGAGCTGAGTAAGGCCTGTGCACTTTCTCCCTGCTGACCTCTACCCCCCATTTCTCATTTCCTAAAACCTCCTTCTACATCCACTCTTCCTGTCTGCTCTCACCTTGGAAGAGCAGGAGGAATGGCAGAAAGGGCATAAACAATTTTTCTACATGTCTGGGGCCAGAGTTTAACTCCAGACCCCACGTAATAAGAAGCTGGGCACAGAGGTTAAGCCTGGAATCTCAGCACTGGGGTAGGAGAGCGGGGGATCTCTGGGACCAACCTAGCCCATCTGGTGAGCCCCAGACCTGCATCCTCTGACTCCACTAACTCTGCGCCTCTCTGTTCCCAGTTCTTTTTTGGGGGGGTGGGGGAAGGGGTGTTGGTTTTTCCGAGACAGGGTTTCTCTGTGTAGCGTTGACTGTCCTGTACTTGCTTTGTAGAGCAGGCTGGCCTTGAACTCACAGCGATCTGCCTGCCTCTGCCTCCTGAGTGCTGAGACTACAGACCTGAGCCAGTACGCCTGGCTCTGTTCCCATTTTTTATCTCCTGAAACCTCCTTTTACACGCACTGTTCCTGTCTTTATTCTACTTTCCTCTCACCTTGGAAGAGGAGGGTAGCATGGCAGTAAGAGGCCCTTTCTCAAAAAATGAGGTAGATGGCTTCTAAGGAACGACACGTGAAGCTGTCCTCGGGGCTCCGGGCCATGTACACACGTGAATCCATACAAACACAAAACAAAAAAGCCGAGGCCGGGTGGGACAGTGTATGTTTTTAATCCCAGCACTGAGGAAGCAGAGGCAGGTGGATCTCTGTGAGTTTGAGGCCAGTGTGATCTACAGAGCAAGTCCAGAACAGCCATAGCTATTACACAAAGAAAACCTATCTGGAAAGAAAGAAAAAAGAAGAAAAGCAGAGAATGTTAGTCTACTGTGCTGCCCGTTCTGACATTCAGGGAGACACACAGGCCCCTTCCAAGATCAGGACAACAAGGCTATTAATGAGTCTTAGAACAAAAGGAACAGACCTAACAGACTTACCTCAAAAATTCCAACTAATCTTCCCAATGTCCCTTTTACTCCAGCCTGAAAGGAGAAAGAATGAACACAGTGAGTTGCTACGTTGCCCAGAGCTTTCCCATAGTCTTGTAAATAGGGGCGTGGGGGCTGCAGGGATGGCTCAGTGGCTAAGAGCACGGGCTGCTCTTCCAGAAGACCTTTTTGGGGCCCAGCACCCATGTCTGGTGACTTACAACTGCCTGGAACTCCAGCTCCAGGGGATGTCACAACCAGAGTGGTCGCAGGAGAGTCCCTTCAAGTCTCTCCAGTCTTTCTCACTCTTGAAGAGTTTGCCAAACAGTTGACTCATGAAGGCCAGTGAAGATATACCAAAAACATTTTGATAATTCATTTATTCACCATGCCACAATTACATGCTGAGCCAGGAAACAAGGTGAATGACAGAGGGACAGCAATGCCCAGGTTGGGGTACAAACATGGTCCACGACAGACAGCAAAATGAGAACTGATACGTCCTTGGCTGCCTGTGTACAAGAGGCTGCAACAGAGTCCAGAAGCCTCAGGACCCAGCAAACAGCCAGTCAATGAAATACCACCACACGCTTCTCCTAGTGACGGGCATCTTGATGGCTAACAAAGTGATGCAGAGCGCATGTAGCACGCTCTTTATTTTTGTTGTGGTTTTTCTTTTTTGATTGTTTTTCGAGACAGGGTTTCTCTGTGTAGCCCTGGCTGTCCTGGACTCACTTTGTAGACCAGTCTGGCCTCAAACTCAGCGATCAGCCTACTTCTGCCTCGACCACCCAACATTGCTTCCAAACTCTTAATACACACTCTTTCTGTCCAAGGCCCTTCTGATTGCTGTTTGGGTTCATGAGCGATGAACATTTCACTTCATTCCAATTCACTGGCTTTCCCAAGTCCAGAGCAGTTTCCACATCTAACTCTTCTTCCACTATGTTACTTTGGTTTCCACATCTCCCACCTCTTTATATAGTTGTTTATTCACTTAAAACTTTTTAATTTATGTCTATATGGTGTGTGCGTGTGCGTGCGTGTGCGTGTGTGTGGTGTGTTCTGGGAACCAAACTCGGGTCTTCCGGAAGACCTTGCACGATTAATTGCTGAGCCCGCTCTCCAGGCGTGTTTTCTAAAATTCTTAAGAGAAACAAAAAAGACTGATTTTTAAAGGACTAGATTCCAGCCTGGCGATGGTGGACGCCTGTAATCCCAGCACTCAGGAGGCAGAGGCAGGCGGATCTCTGTGAGTTCCAGGGCAGCCTGGTCTACACAGGTTCCACAACAGCAAGCTCCACCTAGGGAGACCCTGTCTCAACAAAACAAACAAAACGACAAGATTCCTGGGTGACTTGTATTTTGAAATTAACCTGTTATCTGTCTCAAGTCTATTCTTTTCTATCCAGTCACCTATGGTGGCTTTTGGTATTCTTGTGTTATACAAACTGCTCTCTTGAATTTCCAACAAAGATTTTTCTTCCAAGTCAGCTAGTTCATGAGCTAGCCAGGGAGTGGCCTGAACAAAGCTGTGCTCTTGGCAAGCCCAACTAGAAAGCCAGCTCATTCTCTGCCTTGCTCCCAGGCAGCCTGAACACAAGCCGCAGGTCTCTATCTTGGGTAGGGGAGCTGCAAAAGCCATCACTTGACGTGCGGCGTGCTCTCCCGGGCGGCCACCATCTGTTAATATACACGTTTCTTCAAGTCAAAAACTTAGCAATGGAATGAGCTCCAAACTAAAAGCACAAACCAACCTGTGATCTTTAAAAAGACCTGTTTACTATTTTTATGTACATGAACACTTGCAGTGCCTAGTGCCTAGGGCCTGCAGGTCAGAAGAGGGGTCAGCTCTGATGGAGTTGCAGTACAGACTCTTGTGAGCTGCCAAGCAGGCATTGGGAAGCTGAAACTCGCTCCTCTGCAAGCCCAACAAGGCTCTTAACTACCAAGCCACCGCTCTAGCCCCTCAACTTACAATTTTGACGAGGCAAACAGTAACTTTTTAAGTCAGGGACTCATTTAGCCCACCCAGGCTGGCCCTGTATAGCTGAGATAACCTTGAACTCTGACCCTCCTGCCTCCACCTCCCACAGGCCGGGGTCATAGGCATGATCCTCTAGTTTGTGTGTCGAGGAGATGGGACCCAGAGTCTCAGGCGTGCTAGAAGAGCGCTCATCAGCAGGGTCAGCTCTGAATGTAGCCACAGGAATTTCTGCACTGAGCAACAGCGGGCGTGGCTCACTCTGTCAGGAGCAGTTGGAAGTCATCGAAAAGCATCTTTCAGGGTGACACAGATGTGTTCTTGTAAGTGCAGTACAGCTCAGAAAGTGCTGTCACTGCGCAGAAAAAGCCTCACTTTAGTCTTCAACTTGTAAAAGTTAACACTTTACTGCTCCCTTTACTTTACTTTTAAACTAGTGGGGCATATACTTGACAGAATCTAAAGTCCGCCCGCCACCAATTCATCAATCAAAGGCAGCGCTGCAGCAGGCATGCTGGCTCAGGCCATTAACCCCAGCACCTGAGGGCCGAGGCAGGCGGATCTAGCTCCTGAGCTTGAGGCCAGCCAGGGATACACGGGGCAACCTTGTCTCAGACAAGCAAGCAAACCCAAACAAATGAAAACACAGAAACACTCTCCTATTTGCCAGCTTTAAAAGCTGGAACTTAAGTTTCTTAGAGGAAATCCCCTTAAAGAAATGTCAGAGGCCAGGCACAGTGACTCATGCCTGGAATTCCAGCACTTAGGAGACTGAGGCAGGAGGATTATCTTGAGTTTGAGGACAACCTGGGTCACCCTGCCAAAAACCAGCAACAGCGAAGACAAGGAAAAAGAGGGCTGAGGGGCTTCTTGGGTACAGAGCATGTGTAGCAGGAGGACTGGCTGTGATCCCTAGCGACACACAGCAGTGCGGACAGACAGACTGCAGTGCGGCCGAAGGCTGACGGAGGAGGGCTCTTCATGGCAGGGTCCTCTGGGACCCCTCCTCTCGTCAGCTCATGCTTTCAGCTCCCAGATGGCAACTCTCAACTGTGCAGTCTCCAGGGCTGCCGCAGTGTGAATGCGGGTATCTTTACCACCCACACGACCTCGATGCAGGTTGGGACAGGCGCCAAAGCAGCATCTGGCAGCACCTGCCTCGGGCACCTGACTTGGACGTGTGCAAGTTCAGTCCCAGCAGTGCACACTTGATCCATCATCTTTAGGTCAGATTCTGATCCAGAGAGTCTCTAGTAAATGACACTCTTCACACGGGTAGGGATCTGCCCTTCATCTCCCACGACACAGAGAGCACAGAGAGAGTGCAGAATGCTGGTCCAACATGTGGCAGGCCTGAAGTTTAATTCTCAATAGTGCAAAAGCAGCCAAGCCTGAGCCCGCCAAACAAGTACACTGTGTCCACTCTAGTATTTCCTACCTAGTGAACAAAATCGACTATTTGTTATTATTATTATTTGTTTGTTTGAGGCAGGTTCTTTCTATTAATCTGTCTGTGCTGAAACTAACTCACAGAGATCATCCTGCCTCTGCCTCAGTGCTGGGATCAAAGGCTTGCACCATCACCCCCAACTTGAAAACCCTTAAAAAAAAAAAAAAAGACACAAAACAAAACAAAATTGTGTCTGTTTCTGCTTGAGGATGTCTTGTACCTACACGGAAGAACTGTCCAAACCCTAAGTCTGAAAGGCCACGTGGTTACACAACCCAGGCAAAGCAGTGGCAGGCCACATGGACGGAGTGCCACAAGGAGTCCTACTTTAGCACCCAGTGGACCAGCTCTTTCCAAATGGCTCCTTCCCTCATGGTAGGTGTCTGGTAGGCACAGATGGCACCCTACTTGCAGGCACAGCCCTCACTACCAGGGCACCCAGACTCTGTCCAATTGTACAATGTGGCTCAACTGGGGAAGGTATGCCTGAGCCCAGTATGCGGCGAGCATGGGCTCAGCGGTGCTTCATGGGACCCAATTCAGGTCAAAAGTTCCTAGGAGGGTATCTCTTGGGGACTTGTGGGGAAGATTTCCTACCACAATAGACAGAGTGGACAAAAAGAAACACTATACTTCTGGCCCGTCCAGCAGGGACCTGAAACCTGGAGCTACTGCAGTTACCTTGTGACCCTAAAGTGAAGGCCAAAACCACCAGTGAGACGCCGACATAAAACCGTGACCGAAGCTGCTGACGCTCAAGTGGCCAACCTTGGACTGGAGAAAACAGGGTGGAAGTGAGCTCTAGCAAGGAGCGCTTTCTCCGTGCTGAAAAGCTCCTTCTTCCTTGAATCAAAGGCAGTTAGTTTTCTGTGGAAGATTAAGGACGGTGTGTTGAAGCTCCCTGTACACGACAGAAAGCTCAGTCCCAGGAGGAGCCCCTGGGGCCAACTCTAATGTAAGGGCTGGCAGGAGGACAACCACAAACAGTGTGTGGTCATCAAACATTCGACACAGGACAAGGACCACACTGAGGGTACCTGGAAATGGAAGAAAGCCAGCAGAGGCCAGCAGAAACAATCCACAAGGTTTTTACTTAAAACGAAGTATTTTAAAGAGCAAAAGGGAGAACAGGGCTAGAGAGCGCTCGGATGTTAGAAGCACATCGGCTTTTACAGAGGACCTAGGTTTGCTCCCCGCACCCACAGTTGGAAGCTCACTACTTCTAACTCCAGTTTTAAGGGGTCACGTGCCTCCTAGTCCCCGAAGGCACTTAAAACTCATATGGCACACACACATTCATGTAGGGACACACACTAACAAAACAAAACAAAACTCTTTTTTAAAAAAGGAAAATTCACTGGGCAAAGGAGCACACACTTTTACTCCAAGGACTCATGGCGGCAGAGGCAGGCAGATCTCTGAGAGATTGAGGTCAGCCTGGTCTACAAAGGATGCCCAAGGCTACACAGGAAAACCCCACCTCCAAAAAAGGGATATTAGTAAAGTATTTCTATTGCCACTAGCTAGCCATTATCAAATATTAACATGTAACTTGGTACCTTAAAAATATACTTCTTTTTTAATTTATTTATTTTATATACATTTGGTGTTGGGCATGCA